GTGTCCAAGGCCAGGCTGGATGAGGCTTGGAGCAACCTGGTCTAGTGGAAGGTGTCCCTGCCCATGGCAGGAGGTGGGGCTGGGTGGGCTTTAAGGTCCCTTCAACCCAAACCATCCCGTGACGGTTCTGCTGTGGGTGTTAGTTCGTGGTCTGACAAGCCAGGCCTGTGTCACCCTCTCTGACCCTCGTCCTGCCGCTGCCGTCACCTCACACCCCCCCTCACACCCCCCGTTTGTCTTTGCAGACCCATTTACCCAACATCAAAGTCCATGCCTACTTCGCCCCCGTGACTCCACCTCCCTCGGTGGGGGGCAGCCGACAACGCTTCTGCAGATGTTGCATCATCCTATGACACCGGAAGCGACCGTCCCTGCGAACTGAGTATTTAATTACCCTCGTAGAGTTGCGGCGGACACCGGTAGCTCCGAGGAAAAGCGATACCAGTGTCATTTGCAAGGGCCAGCGAGCAGGGCCGTGGTGCCCCCGTAGCCACCCATACACATACATACACCCCCCCGCCCCGAGCCGTTCCAGCGGAGCGATGAACGCTGCACTGTGGGAGCTGGAGCTGCGTTGGCTTTATTCCGTAGGTGGGTTGGAATCACGCTGAAGCATTCCCGCTGGGCGTGCTCAGACGGAATCGTCGCGGTAAGGATTGGGGAGAGGGGTTGGTTGCGAACCCACAATGACCGTGGCTGCTGTTGAGGTTGGAATAGTAACTGAAACCCCTTTGGGGAGAGGGGTTGGAGTGGGGGGGAGAGGGGAGGAAAGGAACACGCTTTAACCCTGCATCTGTTGTCCAGAAGAAAACAAAATAACCCAAACCTGAAAAATCCCAAGTTGTGTGTCCGTTTTTCGGTTGGGGAGTGAAACGGCAGCCGGCGTGAGACGTGATTTACTTGTGCTTCTCCGCTTTCCCCGTCCCTGCTGACCCCCCCGAGCATGCTCATGCCGAAGGTGCATCCCTTTCGTCCCCGCTCCAGCTCGCAGGATTCCCAGGCCGCTGCGAGAGCGCGCGGAATCTGTCCCGTCAGGCTCTGGGGTCTTTTTACCCTCCCTACATCCTGCTTTTTTTACAGATTTCTAATCCAATATGGTTCTTTATTTTGAGAGAGAGATTTATCAAACAGGTCGTGAATTGGTAATTTAAAAAAGAAAAGAAAAAGGCACTTTTGAGCGTTAGAAGCCTGACCTGTTGGGGAGATTTTTAAATGGCAAACGAGCTGGGCTGCTTGGCCTGGTCTTACCCGCGATGGGGTGTCCAAATTGGGGTTTGAATGTCAAGTTTTATCCCAGTGACAAAAATATAACCCTTGGAAGGAGAAAAAAAAAACCCCATACAGTGACTGTCAGCCCCCTCCTCCTGCTGCCCTTTCCCTCCATCCCTCCGAGGGAAAGCCGAGGGGAGCCCTGCTGCCCTGCCCGCGGAGCGGGAGGAGCAGCGGGTCTAGAAACGTCCCCTCGCCGTCCCCTTTTGGAGCTGGGGCGCTCCTGGCTTTTCCATCTTCCGCAGGTAAGTCTCTTTGCCCCGGAGAAGGAGCCGGGAGGGGCGGGTTGCCGCGTGCCGGTGCTTCCCAGCGGGCGGGATGCACTCGCAGCGGCTGGTTCGAAGGTGTTTCGGGCAGGATTTAGCCAGCCGGGACCAGCTCCCAGCTCCTGGATGCCGGCGCTTCCTGATGCCCAGTATGAACCATGCAGGGGTTTACGGATGGTTCCCGGGAGCGCGCCTCTCATCCTGGCAGTGCTGCTTCGCCTCCATCCTGAAGAACCGGAGCGGGGATGAGGGAATGACTGTTTTAGGGTCTTGCGGGCTTGGGTTTTCCCCCTCCCTTCCTGGGGGGTTTGCTTGGAGGGCAGCGCGTTGCTTCCCGACCCTCTCGGCGCTGGCGGAGGCGTTGGGGCAGGCAGAAGGGTCGCTCAGTACCACCGAAGCTCTGAATCTCCTTCATCTGCAACCTAAAAACTCCCCCCCTCGCCCCGTACGTGCTCAGCGAGGGTCTGGCGGTCTGCTGGGAGGATCCCGCGCCATGTCTGAAAGGATGCTCTCGACTCCCTTCCCGGAGGTCGCTATTCATCCCTTGTATTTATTCCGATCCTCCCTGCGGGTTCTCTCTCTCTCAAGGCGCTCCTTCCTTCCCCTGATTTTTTCCGGGTGGCAGGAGAGAACGGAGCTTCCCACGGTAACGGACTCGGATCCCGGGGGCAAGCGCCCAGCGATCCCGTGTTGGCGCAGCTCCGGGAGGAGCACTCGTTGGTTAGGTCGTGCTGTGGCCGGGGAAGGATAAAAGGGAATCTCCGAGCCGGAGGCGGGGGAGTTGGCTGACCGATTCCTTTGCGACAGAGCCGAGTTTTCCAGGGAAAACTCAAGAATACACAACCCAAAGCGTATTTTTTCCCCCCTCCCCAACCAGGGTGACAGCGTTAAGGTAGCTCCAACTGCTTGACAGTGTCCTTTTAAGTCAATTATCCGTCTGGGAATGGACTCTTCCTGATGTTTGTATTTATAAATACCAATAAACGCCCTTTTCCAAGCCGTGTCCTACCGGCGGAACGCCTTTGTGCAGGGACAAATCCGCGTGGCAGCGTAGGGGGCCGTCTGGGAACGCGGCTTGGGAATGCTGCTTGTGCCTTCGGCACTCTGGGCCAACCCCACAGGGGCAGCAGCAGGGGGGCCAGACACAGGGGCCAGCACGGG